CAAAGTAACTGATATAACTGCTTTGAATACACCTTTTCCTTTGACCTTTATACTATATAAACACACTGTTAAAATAAATTACAGTTGGATGGAAAAGTGAACAAACTGGTCTCCCAGGAGTGCATAGTAGTCTGCTTTCCAGTTTCAAATAAGCCTGAATGTTGAACTAAACTACCAGTACTAATGCTCATACTTAATTTTGAAAATATTACTCCTGTAGGCTGCTCTAAAGCAATTCATTAATTTAAATAAATAATTACTGCACATGTACTCTATGTCTGTTGTAAGTGCCAGACTTCACAGAGAATGGTCAGTACCAAATTACCTAGCTGCTCTGAGTTTTCTCTTGGAATAATCAGTAAGGTTTTAATCATGGTATTTAACACGAAGAATAGCACGGGGAACAGGCTGTAGACAAACTAGAACAGTGGTTCTGCTAATTCAAAGTTAGAATGACAATGTGTCTTTTACTGTAGTAAATTTTTTAAAAATTTAAACATTCACTGTATTTTTTATCCCATTTTATACTTGGCAGCTTATCAAATGTACCCATTTGAAAACCTTCTACTATCTTTTCTCTTTTGCAGTGATACTTCTTTTTAGGCATCTTCTCTAAAAGAATCTAATAAGCACATGTGATGGACATAAAAATCAATAAAAATTCCTTGTTGGAGATAACTGTAGATGACAATCCCTTAAAAATAGTTTCTCCTCCTCTAAATTTTTCAATCTGCCTCTGAACTGTCATATTTTCTGTTCTCAAAGGAATAATTTTACTAAACAATAAGCTTTTAGTGACTTTTGACTGACATAATAATCCTATCACAAGTGCTGAACACATCAGACCCAATTCATAGCCACATTAAATACTGCTAATGCTCTAAGTGCTCAGTAACCATGGCATTCCAGACCACAGGTTCTATGAGCACAGTTTATAAATATTCACATTTTCATGGAGAAGCAGTATCTACTAAAGCAAAGATGAAAAATCAAACCACAGTCTTCAGTAATTTTTTTGTTTTTTCAGATTTTTAAAAATGAAATGGTTCTGTTTTAGATATAATGAGGGGAAAAGTTTATCTTGCAGTGACATTCAACAGCTAAGAGTTAAAATTATGAAACTTTACAATCTCTCCTCCACTACTGACTTAAGATGGTGAAATCCTGCCTGCTGCAGTTTGAGCTCCACTTAAGGTCAGTACCAGTCTGTGGCTCTTCATGACACCTCCACTGTCAACCACTTCCCCACCACTGCATTTCACTTGGCAGGAAAACACCATCCCATCGCCTAACATCCACTGGCAATTGATCACGTGCTTGGCATTGTACTAAACTTCACATGCACAGCTCTGCTCACCCTTACAACAGTGCCGTAATGGAGTGTTTTACACGTAGGTAGTATGTTACCGACTTTAAGTAACTTGCCCAGGGTCACAGAGCTATTTCCCATTACTAACAGCACAGAGGGTATCTTGAGTCTTTTAGGGAGGGGTCACCCAAGGCACCTCCCAACAGAAACCACACCTGCCTAAGAATGTAGACTTATCTTGAGCTCCTGGTACTTAATTATTTTCAATTTAGTTCTGTTTCTCTAATTCATTTTAATCTGTCTGTCTTAGCATAAAAGAAAAGTGATATAGTGGCAGGGCTGGGTGCATAAAACCATTTACTTTCCACGCACTGGCTTTTAGGTAGTCTTTGTTACCCTAATTCTACAAAGTCAGGCAGGATTTCTTTAGTAAAAATGCCTTGACTATTTTAGACCTATGAAGTAATCTTAACAGGAGTGCTACTTCCAGGTTTAACATGTCTTTAAATATTTAAAACAATTCTGATTTTAAATGGTAACATGTTTATCACATAAGCAAGTAATTAGTGTAAAGCTGTAACAAACAATATATAAACCAGTAGTTTATCCCTCCCTTCCTCTATAAAAGATTCTGTAACTCATTAACGACAGCACTGAAAAGTGGTTGGTTCACTACAGTGCTGGGGATTAAACCCCAGGGCCTTGCAAATACTAAGGAAATGTTCTACCACTAAGCTACCCTCCAGGCTGGAACAGCAGTCTCTGAAGGGTGTTCTTGGAGCCCCAGTAGAGTGCCAGCCCAGTCTTCCAGTAAAATCCCTATTTTACCTGGTTTATATTTCACGTTTCACAAATACATCTGCAAAGCTTATGTAAGCTACACAACTGACACCCTTTTAGAGTTTCCATACACTATTCTGCTGTCTTTGAGACATAAAATAAAATCTAAATTCAGAATTCCCTAACATAAGAGCAAGAACTAGCTTGGTTTTTTTTCTTATCCAATAAGAAAGACTATTCAGTTGATTGCAAAAATAAAATCTGCCAGTTACTTACAGAAACTACAAGTGAAGCACATTAGAAAGGCTTTTTAATGTAATTTATATATATTTTATATGTAACTATGTATATTGTACGTTTTATATGTACTTTATATGTAATTTATATACATGTATAACTTGACTATTTTAGACCTATGAAGTAATCTTAACAGAAGTGATACTCCTATGTTTAACATGTCTTTAAATATTTAAAACAATTCTGATTTTAAATGGTAACATGTTTATCACATAAGCAAGTAATTAGTGTAAAGCTGTAACAAACAAAATATATAAACCAGTAATTTATCCCTCCCTTCCTCTATAAAAGACTGTGTATCTCATTAACGACAACACTGAAAAGTGGTTGGTTATATATAATTTATGTGTATGTGTATACATGACTCACTCAGAGACACTTATCAGTCTGAGCTTAAATTCTATACTTATAAACAGAAGTACATTTCAGTTATTCTATACTTTCATACTCAAATTCTTTCAATTAGACTAAATCCACAGACAAAACATTTGGATTTATCAACCATCCTCCCTCCAGCACTCACCAATTATCTAATGCTTCTTTGAAATTATATGTATCAATCACTGAAAAATAAAAAAATTAACTGAAAAGAAATACTGTGTAGTAATATGTGAAAATGATATTGTTTCAAGTGGTACATTAGAGTGACCCTGACAAGCCCAGAGGCCAACTGTAGGAGAAATTCAGGCCCCCTTTCATCAAGGTCCTATGTTTAGCACCATCTATGTAAGAGCTACTTACTCCCATTCTGACATTTAGGCTGGGAATTTTTCTATCTAAATGGCATTACTTTTGGTGAATTTATTGGTGAAAGCAAAGCTGACTACTTTTTGAATAAAACCATTTCAAAAAATAGAATAAACTATACTATATTAGATATGTTTTAATTACTTTTCCTACAAGCAGATAAAGGTGCCTCCAGAAACCAATGATCTTTCATTTTAGTGCTGTAATTGGTTTTAAAAGTGATATAATTTGTGAGGATCTGCAATCTTGACCTAGAAATTTCCCATTTAATTTCTTAGCTAACCAATGCACAGGATTTAAACTCAGTACTTTGATCTCAACATTAAAATTAAAAATGTACTCTCTTTCCCAGCCTTTAGTAGCTTTGTTAAAATTCAGGGTACATAATGTCTTAGTCTATTTGATATTTGTTCAAATTGTAAGAGAATAAGTATTAATCTACAATTCAAATGAAAGTGATTTAAGTTATTTTTAAATTATCATAGAAATATATCCATTACAGCAATACAGCAATTTTAAAACCTGAGCTGTTATAACTTGAGTTCTTGAAATGTTCTATTAACTTGCTAGTTTTTAAAAGACCTGTATTTGAAGCCAAATGTAATGAAAGTTCATCGGTAAAAGTTAGACAAATAAATAAAAATGCCTTACAATTCTACTGGCAAGGGCAATAAAAGGATTCTAGGCAGTAAACAACAGTATTAAAAAATACAATCAGCCCTCCATATCCACTGGTGGTGCATCCATGGATCCAACCAACTATAGTCAGATTTTTTTTTCTTTTTATGGTACTCAGGATTGAACCCCAGGCCTTTGGTACTAGCTATACCGCAAGTCCTCTTTTTTTTTTTAAATTTTGGAATAGGTTCTCCCTAAGTTGCTAAATTGCCCTGGCTGAACTTGAATTTGCAATCCCCCTGCCTCAGGCTCCCAGAGTGCTGGGATTACAGGCATGCGCCTCCCAGAATTTAATGCATACACAGCTTAAATCTGCTTTTATTCTGTATATGTACAGGCATTTTTGTTCATTATTCCCTAAATGATACAGTACACAAACTATTACCATAGGGCTGGGGATTTAGCTCAGCGGCACAGCGCCTGCCTGGCAAGCACAAGGTCGTGAGTTCGGTTCCCGGTACTGGAAAAAAAACAAAAAAAAACAAAAAAAAAAAACCAAAAAAGAAAACCAACAAACTATTACCATAGTGTTTACATACAGGAGGTATTAATATAAGCTAGAGATTACTTAAAGTATATGGGAGAATGTATATAAGTTGTATGCAAATGTTATATCATTTTATACAAGTGACTTGAGCATCTGTAGATCTTGGTATCCACAGGAAATCTGAAAACAATGCCTCAAAGACACCGAGAGATGACCAAATATATAATTTAAATAATACTGTGTCATCTGGCAAGGTGATAGGACGAAAGTGTTTAGCCTTCAAGCGCAGTACAACTGTACTTATGCCTTAAAATTTAAAAAGACAAACCAACCATTACTCCCAAGTGGGAACATAATATTACTATTTTATATATAAAGGTAATTATATTTTTCTAAAATTTAAATAAAAACTTTGGCATATCCAAGCTACCAATATTTTGGTTTTCCTGAATATGGAGGGCAGAGACTTGGAATCATACTCACCTCATAATTAAAGGGTAAAAACCAAAGTTAAATTCCATTTCTAGACTAGTATTCCAATAGTTATTAAGAGACAGAAATCAAGAGTCAGATTTCAAGATGCCAAGATTCAAAATCTGCAACTCATTTTATTTTTATATAAAAGATGGAACTAGGTTAACATGTGCTATTCAAAATATAAAATTATTGAATATAAAATCTTGATGTAAACTAAATTCTTACTTTTAAGATGAACTTCCAGTCTTTTCCATTCACAAATAGGATTTGATTTATTAAGTTCCCTGCTTTATATCTCCAGAGTTGATCAAAGCACATTTTCTTAGTACAATCTGTATTGTTCCAAGTATTTTATAAACATCTCTCTTGATAGTTTACAGGAGTGATCTGAAATCATATCCAAGGTTTCATTCTGAGTCAGTTATTCTTAAAAGGAGTTTCTCTGTCTTTATCACCTTTATTTCCTTTTGTATCATAAGTTTAATTCTAACTTGTCTCAAAAAATAAAAAGAAAAATCCAATGGCAGGATTAATACCAGATAATTACTGGTATTAAATAGTAGGTAGGGCAAAAAGTAAAAAAAAAATAATAAAAAAAAAGAAAGGCAATTTCATTACTTGGACATGAAAATTATACCTATATAATATGTGAACTTTTATAAATGCCCCTCAGCAATAACGGTAATTTTCAAGGACTGTCAACCATCTAGGTCTCCACTGATAATTCCTAAATCTATATTTTGTATCCTCATCTGAAAGCCAGATGAACCATAGTCACCAGCATGTATCATTCATATACTCAGACCCAGCACCTACTATGTGCTAAATATAGTATCCTAGGCTCTGGAGAGTCAAAGAAAAGATAATAGTCCCTGTCTATGAAAGAATTCTAATAGTGAAGATAAAATATAAAAATATGTAGCATGCTATTATGTCTCAGACTAACAGTGGTTTAAAACTGACCTCTACTTCCTACATTCTGGCCTGCTTACTCCAAATCTCATTCTTGGATAGAGATGGTACCATCATAAGCTACCAAAGGCACACACTTGCAAAGCATTCTTGACCTCTAACTTCCTCTTTAGACCTTAACTGTCACCTAGTGTGGCTCAAATTCCCAGAGTGGACATGCACAGATGGCTCTCAGGACATCTGTGGACATCCCTTCCACACTTCTCAGAACTCTTGGTGATGGTGGTAAAAAAAAAAAAAAAAAAAAGTCAGGAATGTTTCTAGGACTTTAAAAACTATAGGTGGGAGAAGCTCTTTTCTGTCTCTTGTTGGAGAGTGATGATAAGGCCCCACCCCGTGGTCATGAGTGCCAGTTCTAATTCTCAAAGTGCCTAAATTCATCCCAGTTTCTTCAGTACTTCTGTCCTTTTGCAATTTTCTGCAGGAATCTTCCAACTAACCCTCCTTTTAATTTGAACAGTCTGTATGTGATATCTGTTAACTTGAAAGGGGGTGTGCTGACTAGTGTACCTTCTAAAGATTTTCAGCCTCTGTCTTCTCCATCTCTACCACTAGTGCCCTAGTATAGGTACTCAACAGTTCTTATCTGGACCAGAGTCACAGTCCAATAATCTCCTATCTCTAGTCTTCACAGGAAGTGTCTGTAACACAGACTGACCATATCACATCTGCTCCCAATGGACTCTTCAATGGCTCCTGTTAACTGAGGACAAAATTTAAATTTCTTAACGTGATACATCCAACTCTCTATAGTCAATCTTCCTCTCCAGCCAAATACCTGTGACTCCTTGCCTCACTTTTTATGGTATGACTACATGAAACTACTTGGGCTTGGGCTCAGAAACATACATCTATGACACTGAACTGATTAGGAGGCAGGGTGTTCTCTTTGCTGAAAACTTAAAACCAGGACATCTATCTGATGCCAGTGTACATGACACACAGCAGTGAGTAACCAGAAGAAAGATTCACAGACTGGAACTTAAAGCTCTGTTTACCCACCCATCTTTGTAGAATGAGAACCAGCTTCAAGTCTCCTAGGAGACATTCTCACCTAGACAGAGGAGAAAGCCCCTTCTCATATCTGTGCACCTCTACTACCCTCCACTGAAGCTTCTGGCCTGGCAAGTGAACTCTTTTGCAAATGACATGGGGATCTAGAGATGGACCGAGGATGAAGGAAGGGGTGGGGCAAGGGAATTAAAAGGAATTAAGGTGTGTTATATATACACAGCAACTCCCCATGATGAATGTAATCATTATGTACAGCAAACATGTATTAATAGACATGAAAAATGATAAGACCATGTTCCACACACCCCTGGATCCTCAAGCCCAGCCAAGTGTTCAATACATACTAGACAGGTATTTATAAATGTTCATGGAATGATATATGTGTTCTGAGCTAAGCAAAACACTGAAAGACATTTTCATGACTTCTTACAAAAGTGCAGTGGATGTTAAGACAGGACACTTGGTCTCTGCACATTGAATTAGATGTAAATATTTGTTTTTTTTTTTTATTTTAAAGATAAAAGGAGGGAAACATTAACAGACATACAACATTTTACAACATATCACAAGCACAATACAGACAATACAGAGTTACAAACAAAGTGGTAGGGAATTAACAATGGTGGTTGTATTACATATTGATATCTTCAAAGTGGCTTCTCGTGAAAACAGATAAGAGACATGCAATATTGATCAGTCAAGGACTCATTGACAGTTTCTTTCAGCATAGAAATAGAAGACAGAAGAACAACTATGTTAACTATCCTGTATATACATACATACAAAATTTCTCCTTCTTTCCCTTCTCTTTTCCCACATCCCAGAAGCCCTTTACTCTTCAGTGGTTTCCTATCATTTCACAGTGTCTATCATACCTCCGAGTTTAAATTAACTCTTTCAAGTTTTACACTAGTGACACAATGCGGTGCTTGCACATGTATGTTTGATTTATTTCACTTATGAGTATGGTCTCTAGTTGTGACCATTTAAATATAAAGGCCTTGAGTTTATCTTTCTTTATAGCTGAGTAATATTCCATTATATAAAAGTACCACAATTTTCTTATCCAATTCTCGGTGGATGGACATTTGGGTTGCTTCCACATTTTAGCAATTACAAATTGTGCTGCTATGAACATAGGTGCACATATATCACTGTGATATGATGTTTTTAGATCTTCTGGGAAAATACCCAGCAGGGGGATAGCTGGGCTGAATGGGACCTCTAAACCTAGTTTTCGGAGGAATCTCCAAACTGATTTCCACAGTGGTTTCACCAGTCTGCATTCCCACCAGCAGTGGAGAAGGGTTCCTATTTCTCCACAGCCTCGCCAGCATTTGTTATTGGTTGATTTCTTAATGCTAGCCATTCTTACTGGGGTAAGGTGGAATCTTAGTGTTGTTTTAATTTGCATTTCTCGAATGACTAATGATGTTGAACATTTTCTCATATATTTATTTGCCATTTGTTAGATGTAAATATTTGAAAATACAAATATTTAGTGGGTATCTCTAACTTACTGTATAATTAACAGGCCATTTAATTCTACACAAATTTTTTGAATGGGAGATATTGAGAAATAAAATGACATTTTTTAACTTATAAGACATTTGAAACAAAACTGTACAAGCAACAAAAAAATTGGTAAATTTGGCTTGATCAAAATTAAAAACTATATGCTTAAGAGATTATCATCAAGAAAGTGAAAACACAATCCACAGGATAAAGAAAACTTTATGAATTTTGGAAGCAACACAAATGTCCATCCACTGAGAACTGGATAAGAAAATTGTGGTACTTTTATAGAATGGAATATTACTCAGCTATAAAGAAAGATAAACTCGAGGCCTTTGTAGGTAAATGATCACAACTAGAGACCGTACTCATAAGTGAAATAAATCAGACCTGCACGTGCAAGCACCGCAATGTTTCACTAGTGTAAAACCTGAAAGAGTTAATTTAAACTAGGAGGTATGATAGACATTGTGAAATGATAGGAAAACACTCAAGGGTAAAGGGCAGCTGGGATGTGGGAAAAGAGAAGGGAAAGAAGGAGAAATTTTGTATGTATGTATATACAGGATAGTTAACATAGTTGTTCTACTGTCTTCTATTTCTTTGCTGAAAGAAACTGTCAGTGAGTCCTTGACTGATCAATATTGCATGTCTCTTATCTGTTTTCATGAGAAACCACTTTGAAGATATCAATATGTAATACAACAAGCATTGTTAATTTTCTACCACTTTGTAACTCTGTATTGTCTGTACTGTTCTTTTGCTATTTTGTAAAAGGTTGTCTGTCTGTTAATGTTTTCTTCCTTTTATTTTTAAAGAAAACTTTATGATATATGATAAGGATATGCATATCCAGAACATATAAGGAACTATTACAACTAAACAATAAAAAGTTCATGTTTCTAAATGGACAGAGTTTGAATAGGTGATTATGTAAAGAAGATCTACAGTACACACGCAGATGAAGATGTTCAATATCATTAGTCCTCAGGGAAATGCACATCAAAATCACAATGAAATATCACTTTACACCCATTAGAATTATTTTAAATATAGAATGGCTATATGAGGGAAAAACTAACAAAAGTTTTGGCAAGAACATGAAAATATGAAATCCTCAAACACTGCTGATGAGAATGTAAAACCACTTGAGAAGACAGTCTGGCCCTTTCTCAAAATAATTAAAGAGAGTGAACCATAAATTCCACTTCTAGGTATATACCCAAAGGAAATGAAAACATGTGCCCACTCAAAAATTTGTACACAAGGGTCACAAGTATAACTGAGTGTGCAGAGTACTTGCCTAGCATTCACAAGGTTCTGGGTTCAATCAATCCCTAGCACCAGAACACCAACCCACACACATACAAAAATAGAAAACAAACGTACACAAATCCAAAACATGATTTATAATAGCCAAAAAAGTGAAAAACATCCAAATGTCCATCAGCTGACAGACATAAAATGTGGTATATCTCTATAATTCTATTTAGCAATAAAAAAGAATGAAGTTCTGGTATCTGCTAAAACATAGATGAATCTCAAAAACATGCAATGTGAAAGAAGCCAGCCACAAAAGGTCACAAACTGAATGACTGCATTTGTATGGCATATACAGAACAGGTAAGGCCACAAAGACAGGAGGTAGATTAGTAGCTGCCAGGAACAAGAGTAAAGAATGGAGAATGATTGCTAAGGGGAAATGATTTCTTTTTGGGGTAATAAAAGTGTTTTAGAATTAGTGTTCTGGAATTAGTAAATTGGTGTACAACTCTGTGAATATACTAAAACCAATGACTTTTACACTTTTAAGGGGTGAACTTCATGGTAACTGACATATATCAACAAGCTATTATTTTTTTAAATGGCTGCACAAAGTAATACAG